TGGCTGGGACCCGCGCCCCTGACGCTTCCGCTCGGCTCGCGGGACGATTTTCTCTAACAGCCTGGGAAGTGCCACTCCGCCGGGCCGGATCTGTCTGGACTGTGCCCGGGTCGTGAGCCGCAGCCTGGCGAGGGGTCCGGAGCGCGCTGGGGGCGCGCCCGCCTGGGCGTGGGGCGCCAGGGTCAGTGCCCCTGTGGCCTCCGGGAGCCGCCTGGCGTTTTGCATCTACTTGGGGGCCTGGGGCGGCGGGTCTCTGGGGTGAGGGAAGGAGCCGCAGTTTCCGACCCGGCCCGACGCGCCCTGGTCTCGGCCTTCGTTTGTTCCCAGCACTTTGCTTTCAAAAAGCGTGTGGGAGGACGGGCGACCCGCTAAGCGCCGCCGAGTTTTTAGCGCAGCGTGAGCGTCTCCTGCTCCCGCGACCCCGGGTGGCCCGCGCGCCTCGGGGGTCCACGGCTGGGCCCGGCCCGGGCCGCGGCGAAGCCCGTTATGGGCGACCGAGACCATTCCCGGGTGGTGGCCGCTGCGGGCCCTCGGAGGAATTCCAGGGTCGCGGCGGCGGAGCTGGGGCCTTGGGGAAGGCTGCAAACGTCTCGAATTTAAACGTTAAAGGATGAATTAAAATGCTAATTACGGCGTATTTGAAGAATTCGAAACGGTGACTGGCTTCTGAGTTGCAAATTGGATTTGCCAGCTTTAGAGCGGTGAATAGCCAAGTGGGGGGCTCTGGGGTGTTTCTTTTTTTAACCATATAAGGGCCGGGAAGAGGGAGCGGGGAAGGCAGGGCCTTGAAGCATTCGGAGAAATGTAGATATCAAGGGACTACCTGGGGGCCCGCGCGCACGTGGGAGTGTTTGTGTACGTCTCTGTGCGCGGTTCTGGGACATTTAAAGGAAGACAGGCCGCCTTAGGAAAGAGAAATCGTTCCCAAGATCGCGAATAAAGCTGCAGTACTCGTGAGCAACAGCTGGCCCTGCGCCGCGCTGCGTGCTTCCTGTTCTTTGCGGGAAGCGCAGACCCAGGGCGGAGCGGGAGGCGGCGGGGTCGCGCCCGGGTGGTTGCCCGCGGGTCCCCGCACCCCCTCACAGGCTCCTGTCGCTTCCAGGGCGCTCCCTACGACGCGCACACGACCGGGATGACCGGAGCCATCAGCTACCACCCGTACGGCAGCGCGGCCTACCCGTACCAGCTCAACGACCCCGCGTACCGCAAGAACGCCACGCGCGACGCCACGGCCACGCTCAAGGCCTGGCTGAACGAGCACCGCAAGAACCCCTACCCCACCAAGGGCGAGAAGATCATGCTGGCCATCATCACCAAGATGACCCTCACGCAGGTCTCCACCTGGTTCGCCAACGCGCGCCGGCGCCTCAAGAAGGAGAACAAGATGACGTGGGCCCCGCGGAACAAGAGCGAGGACGAGGACGAGGACGAAGGCGACGCGGCCCGGAGCAAGGGTGAGAGCCCCGACAAGGCTCAGGAGGGCACTGAGACCTCGGCGGAGGACGAAGGTGAGCGGCCGGCGCCAGGCCTCGGGGGCTTTCTTCCCAGGCGGGGTGCAGAGCTGAGGTCGGGTGGGACGCCAACCGCTTGCCCTCCCGGGTGCTGGCCCGGAACCCGCCGCGCGGACGAGGTCCCCGGGGGTCCACGGTCCGGCCTGGGCGCTTCTCGGGGAGGTGACCAGGGCGGGGCGCTGGAAGGGATCCCGCAGGGAGGGCTCGGAGCCCCGGGACACGGGGGTGGGTAGCCCGCGCGCCACCGACTATGCCGCGTCCCCCAGGGATCAGCCTGCACGTCGACTCGCTCACGGACCACTCGTGCTCGGCCGAGTCCGACGGAGAGAAGCTGCCGTGCCGCGCTGGGGACCCCCTGTGCGAGTCGGGCTCGGAGTGCAAGGACAAATACGACGACCTGGAAGACGACGAG